AAATTTGCCAAAAAATACTAAATTTGGTATCCCATGGAAATAATTGAAATCAAAATATTTGGCAATATATAAGTTTTGTGTCGCATGCACACAATGGAAATATCATACAAAATGGGCCTAATATACTAATGTTGTATTTAATTTATTGTAAGAACGAGTTTACATCCTGAAATGGCCATGATGTACCACGGATCATCACACCCTCATTCGCCAATCTGTTTCTTTGACCCAAACATTGCAGTCAATACGCATATGATGATAATAATTACACTTTATTGAAATCATATCCAATTGCTGTTATGGCATTTAATATGAGTCATCGTGCACATAAACGGTAAAAAAGGATTTGAGCAACAGATCCGCTCCCTAGAATTGCCCTTAAAATCACTTGTTGGTGATCCGCTCCTGTATTGCCCTTAAAATCACTTTTTGATGATCTGCTCCTCTAGAATTGCCCTTAAAATCACTTATTGATGATCCGCTCCCCTAAAATTGCCCTTAAAAATCACTTGTTGGTGATCCGCTCCCTAGAATTGCCCTTAAAATCACTTGTTGGTGATCCGCTCCTTTATTGCCCTTAAAATCACTTTTTGATGATCCGCTCCTCTAGAATTGCCCTTAAAATCACTTGTTGGTGATCCGCTCCCTAGAATTGCCCTTAAAATCACTTGTTGGTGATCCACTCCCTAGAATTGCCCTTAAAATCACTTTTTGATGATCCGCTCCCTAGAATTGCCCTTAAAATCACTTGTTGGTGATCCGCTCCCTAGAATTGCCCTTAAAATCACTTGTTGGTGATCCGCTCCCTAGAATTGCCCTTAAAATCACTTGTTGGTGATCCGCTCCCTAGAATTGCCCTTAAAATCACTTGGTGATCCGCTCCCTAGAATTGCCCTTAAAATCACTTTTTGATGATCCGCTCCCCTAGAATTGCCCTTAAAATCACTTGTTGGTGATCCGCTCCCTAGAATTGCCCTTAAAATTACTTGTTGGTGATCTGCTCCCTAGAATTGCCCTTAAAATCACTTTTTGATGATCCGCTCCCCTAGGATTGCCCTTAAAATCATTTTTGTTTGTTTGCTTGCTTGCTTGTGTGTGTGTCGTCTTCACGAATTACATTTTTGTAACTCTTCTCTGAATGTTTTTGGCTGGGCCGATTTTGTTCAAACTTGGCAGGCAGTTCATACTTTTTTAGTTAGGTGGTAAAATAAAATAAAAACTCCCGGTCCACCATTCCATAGCAACGACCAAACAAGCAGCCTCTTGGCTGAGATAGCTCCGCTGTTATCATTAAAAAATTAACAATATGTAGACTTGCTGTTTTTAACAAGAATTCAAAAATATCACTTTTCACTAAAAATGACAAAAATAATCATTAAAATTAGATAATTGAAGATATCACCACGAAATTAACAATCTGAAAGAGGTCCACATGTAGTACGTATATATGTAATATAAAAGCAATCGAACTTGTGGTTTTTAACAAGAAGTCGAAAATATCACTTTTTACCAAAAACGACAAAAATATTCACCAAAATTAGAGAATTAAAGATATCATTACAAAATGAATAAATCAGAGAGAGGTCCACATGTAGTGCCTATATATGTAATATCAAAGCAATTGGAATTGCAGTTTTTAACAAGAAGTCGAAAATATCACTTTTTACCAAAAAAGACAAAAATATTCATCAAAATTAGAGAATTGAAGATATCATCATGAAATGAACAAATCTTAGAGAGGACCACATGTAGTACCTATATAAGTAATATCAAAGCAATTGGACTTGCGGTTTTTAACAAGAAGTCGAAAATATCACTTTTTACCAAAAAAGACAAAAATCTTCATCAAAATTAGAGAATTGAAGATATCATCATGAAATGAACAAATCTGAGAGAGGTCCACATGTAGTATACATATATGTAATATCAAAACAATTGGACTTGCGATTTTTTACTAGAAGTCGAAAATATTACTTTTTACCAAAAATGACAAAAATATTCATCAAAATTAGAGAATTGAAGATATCATCATGAAATGAACAAATCTAACAAATCCAATATATCTTCCCAGCTCTAGCCACAGTGTACAATACCTGTTGTCACACCCAACGTACATATACACCAAGTATCAAAGCATTCAGGCTCATAGTTTTCAAGAAGAAGTCGAACAAGTAAAACATTGACACGAATGACAGACGACGAACGACGGACAATCACTCATATGATAAGCTCTGCTCAACAATGTCGACAGCGGAGCTAAAAAACTGTTTTTTGAATACCTTTGTGCCAAATGCATGTCCTCCTAAAATTATTTTTTAGAATTTGTTTTCATTGCCAAGACAATTTGGGTAACTTTTAGCTGGGAATGGCTTTTTAACTTTTCTGTGATTTGTTGGGGGCTGTGCGAATATTTGTCAAACGGTTTTTAACAAGAAGTCGAAAATATCACTTTTTACCAAAAAAGACAAAAATCTTCATCAAAATTAGAGAATTAAAGATATCATTACAAAATGAACAAATCCGGGAGAGGTCCACATGTAGTACCTATATATGTAATATCAAAGCAATTGGACTTGCGGTTTTTAACAAGAAGTTGAAAATATCACTTTTTACTAAAAATGACAAAAATATTCACCAAAATTAGAGAATTGAAGATATCAATATGAAATGAACAAGGTACATATACACCAAGTATCAAAGCATTCAGGCTTGTAGTTTTCAAGAAGAAGTCGAAAAAGTAAAACATTGACACGGACGACAACGACGGACAATCACTCATATGATAAGCTCCGCTCGACAAAGTCGACAGCGGAGCTAAAAAAAGGTTGATTAAAAGGTTGTCAAAAAACGTCAGCTTATTGGACTTTCCATCCTACCATGATTGACTTTACTGTTGACTTTAAGACAACATTTACAGCTTTCTATCAAAGGCACTCCAGACATTTTGTACCACTTTGCTGACGTGACGACTATTACAACTTTCCAATCACGTTTTATGACTTTTGGGCAACTTTTTACTTTTCACTAACTTAAGATTTTATGGCTTTCCAAGCATGATAACTTAAATATCCAGGCATATTTTACTAGTAACTGTTAGATATGCTTCATGCCAACTTTTAACTTTCTAGCTAATCATGATAATTGCAGCAAATTTCTTTTTTGACTTATTGGGCAAAATGTAGCCAGCTTTTTCGACCCACATTTTTTTTTACATTCCAGGTGATTTTACTACTTTCCATCTTACTTCAACTTTCTAACAAATTCTGTGCCTTTCAAACTTCAAACGGGCTTGGCAGAATTACCGGGAAAAGAAGACCCTGTTGAGCTTGAGTTTATAAATTTCCCACTTTTTCACGCTTTTCTCCTACATTCTGGATTTTCTGCACTTTTCATACAAAATTGTTTAACTTTGCAGACCTTCCTTTTCATTGTCCAATAATATTTTACAACTTTCAAAATAACTTTTTCAACATTTTTGGATATTGCAAACAACTTTTACTTCTTTATAAGCAACTTATTGAATTTTCAGACACCTATTTTGAAACAACTGTTTTAACTTCAGACAACTTTTCAGCCAGTGTTTTCCATCGTTCAGGTTACTTTTATGACTTGAGGGCAGCTTTGTCAACATTCCAATCAACTTTTTTGCAACATTTAAACCAACTTTTTCAACTATTACTACTTCTCAGCAAAATTTTTTCAATTTCCAACCAACTTTTTTGACTTTCTGGGCAATGTTTACAACTTTTTTGACTTAGCAACTATCTTTTTGATTTCCCATGTACAACTTTTCAGCGCAAATTTTAGGACTTTCTAAACAATTTTAACATTTTGTGTGATTTTTTAAAACTTTTAAATCAAAATTTTTCAACATTCTGAAACTTCCTAGGAAACTTTAAAATACAACCATCTGCTTCTGCTGCCAAAAAGTCATATTTATACCATGAAGATGAATTCTATCAAACCAATATGCATTGGATTATTACCTCATAGCTTGTTGTTTTAGTAGTTTAATACCATTTACTGTTACATGCATGTACTCTTTTCATGTAACTCAATAAAACATGATAAAAAAAAACATGTGAATAAGTTTCTTCTAACATACACACACTGTATGTAATACACACTTGACAAGAATAACAAATGCATTCAAACAACATATATCGGTAGATAATAATAATACCATCTAGAAATTTACATTCAATTCAAGGTTCTACAACAAAAATAAAAAAATTAATCCACAAAGAGATGAATATGTATTTAAACCCTAAACATGATATTTCTTTAACTTCATCAGTCTAGGTGGTACCGGGAATTTGGCACTATTCCAAGGAACTGCACATTTTGGAGAGCGTTTGGGATGAGTTGAATCTTTGTGGCCAGCATCAGTCGCAATGTGTAGACCAACTAATACACCGACTATGAGACAACCAATTATAATGAAGGTATAAATGGTTGCACTGGAGTTTGATGGTGATTGCAATGCTTCTAGGTGTTGTCGAATCGGGTAAAACGTAGGATTCAGTTCTAAAGCATGATGTAAATGTTCTGAAGCTTCGTGGTAGTGACCAAGTGATTTAAGAATCTCACCAAGAGTAAAATGTTGTAGCCATGTGTTTTGATCTGGTGATTTCATTTCAAGTGATTTGCGGGTCAGATAAACAGCATCATCCAAGTACTGGAGATTGAACAAGACGCGAGCTAAATTGATTAAAATGTCACCATTGTTGGGTTGGATACTCAGCGCTTTGCGAAAACACTCTATAGCCAATAATGTATTGCCTTTCACTCTCCAGAAATTACCAACTTCATTTAAAACTGACAGAGAATTTGGGAACTGAAAAAAAAAGAAATACATTTAAATGTCAGTAGCTGGACTAAGTGAATGATGGCATTTTTATTCAAACACATTCAATGGCAAGTCTGTCTAATAGAAGTACCAAAATATGTTCAACAGCAAGCCTATCTAATAAAAGTACCAAAATATGTTCAATTGCAAGTCTGTCTAATAAAAGTACCAAATATTTTCGATTGCAAGTCTGTCTAATAAAAGTACCAAATATTTTCAATGGCAAGCCTGTCTAATAGAAGTACCAAATATGTTCAATGGCAAGCCTATCTAATAAAAGTACCAAATATTTTCAATAGCAAGACTATCTAATAGAAATACCAAATATGTTCAATGGCAAGCCTATCTAATAAAAGTACCAAAATATGTTCAATTGCAAGTTTGTCTAATAGAAGTACCAAATATGTTCAATAGCAAGCCTATCTAATAGAAGTACCAAAATATGTTCAATTGCAAGTCTGTCTAATAGAAGTACCAAATATGTTCAATAGCAAGCCTATCTAATAGAAGTACCAAAATATGTTCAATTGCAAGTTTGTCTAATAGAAGTACGAAATATGTTCAATAGCAAGCCTATCTAATAAAAGTACCAAATATGTTCAATGGCAAGCCTATCTAATAAAAGTACCAAAATATGTTCAATAGCAAGCCTATCTAATAAAAGTACCAAATATTTTCGATTGCAAGTCTGTCTAATAAAAGTACCAAATATTTTCAATGGCAAGCCTGTCTAATAGAAGTACCAAATATGTTCAATGGCAAGCCTATCTAATAAAAGTACCAAATATTTTCAATAGCAAGACTATCTAATAGAAGTACCAAATATGTTCAATGGCAAGCCTATCTAATAAAAGTACCAAAATATGTTCAATTGCAAGCCTATCTAATAAAAGTACCAAATATGTTCAATGGCAAGACTATCTATTAAAAGTACCAAAATATGTTCAATTGCAAGTTTGTCTAATAGAAGTACCAAAATATGTTCAATTGCAAGCCTATCTAATAAAAGTACCAAAATATGTTCAATTGCAAGTTTGTCTAATAGAAGTACCAAAATATGTTCAATAGCAAGCCTATCTAATAAAAGTACCAAAATATGTTCAATAGCAAGCCTATCTAATAAAAGTACCAAAATATGTTCAATTGCAAGCCTGTCCAATAAAAGTACCAAATATGTTCAATGGCAAGCCTATCTAATAGAAGTACCAAAATATGTTCAATTGCAAGTCTGTCTAATAAAAGTACCAAATATGTTCAATGGCAAGTCTGTCTAATAGAAGTACCAAATATGTTCAATGGC